TTTTTTTTTTTTTTTTTTTTTTTTTTTTTTTTTTGTACTGGGGAATGAACTTGGGACCTAGTACTTGCGAGGTAGGCTGTAGAACCACTGAGCTAAATCCCTGGCCCTCTGCTCCATAGATTAAGATTGTCTTTCTTAACTGACCAACCAGCTCAGAGTGCAAGATTGAGTTATGGCAGGAGAGAATATTGAAACTTTCCACATACCTTATCCCGATGGCTCCTGCACTTAACAGTCCTTTTTCTTGATTTGTTTTCAAGGTGTTCTTTGCAGAAGATGTGGGTTCAAACAAAGGTGCAATTATTGGACTCATGGTAGGCGGTGTTGTCATAGCAACAGTGATTGTCATCACCTTGGTGATGCTAAAGAAGAAACAATACACATCTATCCATCATGGTGTGGTGGAGGTAGGTAAACTTTGAGGTATGTTTGCAAGTGGGAATTAAAGGAAGACCATGGGGAAATTATGCTGAATGGCAGTCCAAGGATTTCCCAAGTGCTTCTTCTTTGGAAAAGAAAACAGTATTTTCCATGATGTTCAGGTTCCAGCTATTATTTTCTTGCTTTGATTTTCATTCATTTTGTCTTATTGTGAGTATTATGGTCAGGGTATTAAGGTTTTTATGTTGTTGTGTTAATGTATAATTTGCACTGAAATTACCAAAGTAATACTGATGAAAATAATAGCTTGAAAAATTGTGATTACCCCTAAATATTTTTTTTAAAACAAACAAGCAACAACAAAAACAACCTCAGAAGTCAAAAAAATGGAAAAAGAAAGTGGATAAACACATCTACTCCTAGGCAGTTTTTTTCTTAAATATTCTGGCCTCTCAAAGACCAGGCAAAGATAAACACACATTTTCAGCCTGTTACCCTGGACTTCCACCTAAAAAACCTTAGTTTCCAAGTTATTATTGGTACAGTAGCAAGAAGACGCCCAGCCAGTGATCAAAATTATTGTACCACTGTGCTGCTTTTGTAATCGTTCTTCCCATGGCCCAATGCAACAGGTAGGTATAGAAGTAGTGGATAACACCAACATTTGAGTAGCTGCAAGACTCAGTATAACTGCCTAAACTCATGATACAGAGAAAAGAAAGAAAAAACATAAGTTCTTTTTGTGTACTAAAAATGCAGCTTTGGTGAGGAAAAAAAATCACAACTCTCACAGTATTTCCAACTTTTTAGGGAACTCAGTGGTCAAACTGACCCTCTCATTTTGTAGATGAGAAAACTAAGGCTAAGACAGAAGTTTTCACCTGTACTACATCGGGTCCAGATATCCTCACATACTATTCATGACTGTCCTTTTATCATCAGAGAAAAATCCACAGATTCCCAATGAATTAACATTGCATTGATCCCCGAGGAATTGTGTTCTGAGCCATTCTTGATTATAGGAGAGCAGGAAAAGTTTAAATAAGTTGGCAGTAAGGCCAGAAATCTCATTTTGCTCAGTAGTTATAGTCCCCATAGGCATCTTGTTTTCAGGAGTTGCTGGCGGGAATTGGCTTTGGTCTTATTTCCCTGTTCATGGTGGTGTGGATGAACTAAGGAGCAGTGTGATAATGAATGAAGCCTAGGAAACAGCAGGAAGCAGGCAGAGAGAGCTGCATGGTTTGCACACTAGAGTGTGAACACAGCTAAGAATCAATCACTGTAATCAAGTTTGGAGGTTCACTCTTTTCTGAGAGTATATCTAAGCCGTGTCACTCAAAACCATGCAAGACGTTATGAGCAGTGTCAGCTTCTCTCATTTCTACTCAAATCAGTTTTTCCCATTTTAATTTGGTATTTAGGGAAAAAGCTTCCATGAGTAATTCAAAAGCCATTTTCATTTTGTTAATAGAATTCTGTCTTTTAATGGCCTTGAACCGATGAATCTGCCAGGCAACCACGCTCTGTTTAAAAAACTTCATTAATGGAGGCGCCTGTCTTTGATGCCACAGGTCGCAGGGCCTGGATTGGTTTACGAGGGCTGCCATAACAGCACCTCAGGCCTGGTGACCACAGAAATGTATGCCCGTATAGTGCTGGAGCCTGGAAGTTTGAGATCAGAGTGTCCACAAGTTTTCTTTCTTCGGAGGCCTTGCACCTTGGCTCTCCTGATGTCCCTTAGGAAGACACCATAAGATCTCCCGAAAGACCTCACTTAACCCTCCTTTAATGTCTTATCTACCAATACAACTTAGTCTGAGGTACTGGGGGTTGGACTTTAAGAATTTGAGAGGGACAAGGTTCAGCCCATAACAGAGCCCCACGAGGCTGGGCAGGACAGCAGGACCTCTACTGGGGCTCCCTCTCCTGTGGGTGCATTTACCAGGTACTTTTCTTAGAGGACACATTTCCAGTCACCACCCAGCCCCCTTACGGAAACAAAAATCCCCAATACAAGTCTTTGATTCTGAGGGTTGAAAATGCTCCCAGCTGCATGAGACATATAGTGCAATTTGAGAATCCCTGACACATGCATGAATACCGGTTCCATTTGGTGACTCTACATAAACGTTGCAGAGAAGAAATGTAATCTTTTGTCTCCAAGATAACTCACTGCCTCTTAAGCACCCTTCCTGCAGTCTGGTCTAAGGGTTTCTCTCATTCTTGGAGTAAGACGCTCCTGCAGAAAGTTTCAGAGATGGGGAGCCCAGGGAAGCCTTGGGAGAGATGGAGAGATGAAAATGAGCCTGGTATTTTTATTAGTTGAGTTGTGGAATGCTTGCTAGCTGCTGCTTGTTCAAAATAAGCAAGAAATATTGACTGGATGACTTGATTAACCGTGAGGCCCAAGATTCTTCCTGTCAGCTACCAGCCATGCTTTTCTGGGAAAGTGACTGCTTTATTTGTGCCACAAGCAGCGAAGCAATGGCCATTCCCATGCTCTTCCCAGAGTTGCCCACTGTGTCAGTCCCAGGGTGGAGAAAACGAGGGCCAGCTGCATTCTCCACATCGCTGCCATCTCGGGATGTTCCTGCAGCGCCCGCTGACTCCAGCTTCTGCTTAGTGGCAGGATAGCACTTTTCAACACCGATGGGCATGGACACTGGATATTTGCAAATAAAAATGTATTGTAGGTCTTTGTACTACTGTTCCAAGACAGAGACTTCACCTTTAATAAGAAAATGAGGGCACAAAGTCTCTTTATTGTGCAATATAAAAAAAAAAAATCTTCTTTTCGCAGATCTGGAATTCCAGATATTTCTCCACCCCCATTCCCTAGCCCTCTCTTTAACGACCTAAATAGGAAGTTGCTTATTTAGCTTTTCATGGATTTGAGACATGGGACTTTTCTCCTGAGCAATGTCATTCCAATGACGTCATAACCACGTGTCCTTAGAAGTCCTTCCTTCCTGGCAAGGCCTTGGTCCCCCGGAGGGAGACACTATGTGGACCCCTGGGTGTCATAGAGCTCTTGAGGAAAGTAATGAGGTGAGATGGGAAGTGAAGGACAGAAGAGAGAGTGGGCTGCAGGTCTGCAGGTGCCTTCCAGTGAGCAGCAGGCAGAGGAAGGAGAGTCAGAGGAGAGAATAAAAACTGATTACAAAGGACTTCTGCCTGCCTGCTGACAAGAAACATAACTAAACTACTTGTGAAGATGTGGAATCGTCATTAAGAAAATGAGTATGCATAAAATTGAGCAGAAACCAATACTGAGAGGTTACTAGCAGGGGTAAATCACTAGCTTGAAAATTTTGTTGCTCTTTTCTCTGCTTTTGCTTTCCTTCCCATAGTGCCACCTCCTCTGATGTTGCTGTTAGTACGCTGCAGTTGTCTTACCCTCCTCTCCGTCCCATTCACTTCAGTGATCTGAAATGGGAAACCCTCGGGGCCAGGGCTCTGTCTTTGGCCTGACTTAGTGTCATGCCTCAAGGGACATCCATTAATGCACATCCTGGTGGTTGTTAAACAGAAGTGTCCAGGCTTACATCTGCAACTAAATACACTAGAGCCAATGTGATGGGATGAACTGGAAACTAAGGAGATCTAAATAGAGTTTTATCTCTGCCATCTGATAGTTGAACTGTAAATTATCCTGGATATAGTGAAGAAATGAGAGGCTCCAGAGAACTGAGTGAGAAGAAAGAGGTAGGAATGGCACATAAGCCAGAGAGGGACAGGGGTTAGCTCTGTTGGTAAAGCACTTGCCTGGAATGCATTGGGAGAATCTGGCTGTTTGGGCTCAGCTTGTCACAATGCCGGCTGCAGTGCCCAGTTGGAGCCAGGCCGAAGAGCTGTCCAGGGAGCCCCAGATCTCAGGAGGACACGGTGCACTGCACTGAGCGCCCAACTTGGGCCTCACATCAGTCACGTCTGCTACAGGAGAGAGGAAATTCAGAAGTGGTTCACCTGTGGGCTTGCAGCTTAGCAGGGGTCAGATGTGCCTGCCTGATGAGAAGATGGACACTGTCCCTCACGTCACTGCTGCACCCTTTCTTCCAGAATTAGCACCATGGTTCAAGCCAGCCCCAGCTCAGCTTTAAGGGAAATGGTTGTCCAGCGTTGGCACAGGCAGAGGAGGAAAGGGTTCATGTGGTGGCTCACCACACTGTGGTCGCTGAACCTGTGCAAGGACTGATAGGCCTTGCTGGATGAAGAGAAAGGAGGTTTTCCGTGGACGTGAATACTCAGTTTTTCGCTTTTAGCTCTCAAGATGTTGAGATTAAAAAGTTACAATTCCAACTCCTTGGGTGCTGTTTTGTAAAGCTAATCTGTTCTCCTGAAGCTCCTGACTTCAGAAGGCCAAACCACCCCACAGCAGGAGGGGCACGGCACAGCTGCCCTTGCAGCAGCAAAGAGAAATGAGGATTAGCAAGTAGAATCAGGCCAGAAAAAGACAGGAGAGTTCGCTGCCTGGATTGCATACTGGCCTCGGTGCCTTGATTTCTGGTGAGGCTCTGATGTGTTTGGCTTTGGAGTTTGAGAAGGAGACAAAACTATATTACATCGCCCGATGTTCTGGCGCCCTTGATGAATGCAAGTGATTGTTGACAGCCAGTGTGAAGGTTGACCTGCCTCCTGGAGGAGATAAAAGTAGGATAGTCTCAACAGTCAGGCCGCCTGCTGTATGATTTTTTTTTCCCTACATTCAGATGAAACAGCTTCATGCTTAATCTCCAAAGCAAGATAATTTTTTGAAAACTTTGCCATTCTTTGAAATCTGAGTCATGAGATGGTGTAGAGCAAAAAGATATGCCCAAGTCGTAGCGTAGTGCCATAGCCAGCTTATTCCCTGCCATCCAATTTGGAAGGTGAATGAAATCCCCAGTGGGTGCTAATCCTTGATGATGCCATTTACTTTGCAAGTCTGTGGCTGATTACACAGTTGCCAGTTAAAGCCAGGTGACCTCATCTGTTGATGGCAGTGTAGATCAAAGGGGAGGAAGGGATGGGATAACATTTGCACATTTCTCCCATGGGACATGATTCTGAGCATCCATTGGAGCAGTGGCCTCAGTACTGGCTCTCGGTGGCACTATTCTGAGGAAAAACACAGTCGCCCATCCCTGGAATAACCTGACTTGGCAGCCAAGAAGCCAGGCTGCTCTGGCAGGAGGGCAGCCTGAAACAACACACAGCAGCATGGGGTCTCTGCCACAATTGGGAATCTCAGAATCCAGGCCCAGGACGCGGGCCTGGCAGAGCCGTCCGCCTACTACTCCCGCTTCCTTGGGATTAGCCGAGGCAGCAGTTCCACCTCCAGACCAGACCCCACGTGTGGGAGTCACACATTGGGGTTCACCCAGCTCCATCCTCCGACCTGAGTTAAGCACATGCTCTTAGGTGGTCTTCCTTCATGGGGTTCCGGGCGCCACAGCTGTGGGACAGCCATGTGGGTTCAGATCTTACTGGGCTGCCTGGAAAAAGGCTGTGTAAGATTCTGCCTGGCAACGCTCAGTGATGGCGAATGGGCCTGCAGGGTTCTCCGGGGAATGAGTGGAGCCCAGATCCATTCTGCGCAGAGCAGAAGATATCCCTTTGTAGGGAAGTCCATAGATACTGCTCGTCTTTTATGGAAAATAGGCTTCAGCGTGATTGTTTTTGCATCATTTCTTTTCATTCTCCAATGGTTTTCAAGAAGAGAGGTTTTTTTTAAAAAACAAAAACTAAAACCTAAGTTTTTATTAATTCAGAATTAAGTACCACTTCTCTGTGTTCTGGGAGAGATACAGCAGATATTAATAGAAACAAGAACAGCCATTGCCCACAATGCAGTCTGTGGAAAATAAATGCCCACGGGTCCTGCCTAACCCTGACACTGAGAGGGGCAGCATGACAGCCAAGTGACTTGATCTTAGAGGAGAAACGCTGCATTGCAGAGAGAATCTCTTTGAAAACTCTAGCTGACCATACATATTTCAACGGCATCTTAGTGTTCACTTAAATATATATAAAATCTAGGACATCGTGTCTTTGCTGTATTTTTCTACCCCCACGCCCTGTAGAAATAGCCTCTTTGATATGTATGTCTTTATTTTAATCACAAAATTCTCTGGCCTTTCTAGCTTATTTACAAATATAAAACTTGGTGGAAATGGACAAATGAAGTAAGCATTTGAAGATATATACTCAGTTTTATAAGAAATCAAGCTTTTCTTTTTCCTACACAGATTTGGAGGTGGGCGTGTCACCTGTAACATACCTACTTGGACCATTGTTCTCCATGATACTCTTGGACTTTTTCTTTCCTAACTTACCAGCATGTCTTCAAGTACAACAGTCTTCTGTCCTGGCTACTTGTCCCTGTTTAGCCAACAGGATTTACGCAGTTACTATTAGGTCGAAAAATACAAAGCAACCAATGGACGCTTTGTAGGCCTGAGTGTGTGCGGCAAGGTTCTTGGCGCCACCTGGTGGCTAGATGGAGCATCTAGGTAACTGGAGAAAATATCCCAGCACTCAGGGAAGGTGGAGGCAGGATGATCAGAAGTCCAGCCTGGGCCATTTAGCAACTTAGCAAGACCCTGTCTCAAAATAAAAATATTAAAACGAATTTTCTTAAAGGGCTCAGTGCAAAGGCCCCGAATGCAATCCCCAGGGCTACAAGATGGGATAAAGCATGGGTGTTCTCAGCCTTGCCAACAGAAGAGCGTCGTGCCCTTTTTAGTGCTTCCGTGGTCCTCTGTGCACCCTTAAAAGACTGATACATTGATTAAACTGTCGTGCTTGCTTTTCAGGTTGATGCCGCTGTAACCCCCGAAGAGCGCCACCTCTCCAAGATGCAGCAGAACGGCTATGAGAACCCAACTTACAAGTTCTTCGAGCAGATGCAGAACTAGACCACCGCCCCAGCAGCCTCTGAAGTTGGACAGCAAAACCATTGCTTCACTACCCATCGGTGTTCATTTATAGAATAATGTGCAAAGAAACAAACCCTTCTGTTTTATTATTTACTCATTACCGCCTTTGACAGCTGTGCTGTAACACAAGTAGATGCCTGAACTTGAATTAATATACAAATCAGTAATGTATTCTCTCTCTTTACATGTTGGTCTCCACACTACATTATTAATGGGTTTTGTGTACTGTAAAGAATTTAGCTGTATCAAACTAGTGCATGAATAGATTTTCTCCTGATTATTTATCACATACATAGCCCCTTAGCCAGTTGTATATTATTCTTGTGGTTTGTGATCCAATTAAGTCCTACTTGAAATATGCTTTAAAAATCGATGGGGGATGCTTCATGTGAACGTGGGAGTTTAGCTGCTTCTCTTGCCTAAGTATTCTTTTTCTGATCACTATGCATTTTACACTTAAACATTTTTAAGTATTCCAAATGATTTAGAGAATTTTTTTTCCATGATTGCATTTTACTGTACAGATTGCTGCTTCTGCTATATTTGTGATATAGGAATTAAGAAGATATGTTTATTTCTTTGTGCCTGTTTTATGTGCACACATTAGGCATTGAGAATTTGAACTTTTTTTTTTGTCCATATATCTTTGGATCGTTGATTAAAAAGAAAAATCCCTGTTCATTGTAAGCACTTTTATGGGTGGGAGGGAGGGAGTGCTCTGCTGTTTTCAAATTACCAAGAATTCCCCAAAAATTTTTTCTGCAGGATGATTGTACAGAATCATTGCTTATGCCATGATAGCTTTCTACACTGTATTACATAAATAAATTAAAGAAAATAACCCTGGGTAAGACTTTTATTTGAAAGATGACAGTAGATATTGAAGTAATTTGGGGTAGGGAGAAGAGGAAGAGGCAGATCTAATATCCAGTCTAAAATATTTTACTTCTGATACCAAAAGAAAGGGCAAACTAAGAGAAATTGAGAAGACTTGCCTAGGCAGATCCCTTAATAACTGTCTTTAATTTGTATAAAATGATGATTTTTATGCAGATAAATATATTCCTGGAGGAGCATCATTACGCTGGTGTGAATGATGGTAATAATCTTGATTTATTTAGTAATCTAAAGACTAGTAAGAAATCCTCTCACTTTGGGCATTAACACCTAATGTGTTTTACTAGTTGTAAATCCAAATAGGAAATTGGAACAATGTGTATCTTCCAGTAAAATATTTCATAGACCTAATTACCAGATTTACTTGTTCTAAATACTGTATCGCTCTGTCTTGGTTTTTAAGTTCCTCCTAAATGAGAGACAGAAGAAAAACTCCAGGGAAGTAAAAATTAAGGTCAGTAAAGCAGGATTTCTTAATCTGGGCACAATGGATATTTTGTAGGGAATAATTCTGTGCTGTTGGAAGCTGAGCATTGTAGGACACCTGTTGAGAAGCATCCTGTAAAAAAAAAGTTATCCGGACTTTTCCAGATGCCCCCTTAAGGAGCAGAGCTTCCCCACTTGAAACACTGTATAGTTTAATGTCATAGATACACGATTATAATTGAGAAATTATATCCAAGTTCCAGCTTTTGTAACACCATAGAAAGGGCAGCCTAAAACACAGACATTTTGTTTCTCTAGTGCTAGATGCAGGAAGTATAAGACCTGAGTGGCAGAATTGTTGGGTTCTAGGAGGGACCTCTTCCCTACTCACAGATGACTGCATCTTTGCTGTGTGCTCACATGAGAGAGAGAAAAGGCTGCAGTCTTCTCGTCTCACGTGGTCATTGATCTCAAGTCCCGTGACCTGATCTACTGATTGTCTCCCTACAGTTCCACCTCCATATACCATCGTTAGTTACTAGGATTTTAACATGAATGTTGGGGAACACAAACACTCAATTCCTAGCTGTATCCAACTGCTACTTAAGGATGGAAAGCACATATTCTGTTTTGTTTTTTGAAGGTTGGTTGTTTTTGTTTGGGGTACCAGGGATCGAACTCAGGACCTTGCACTTGTGAGGGAGGTGGTGGATCCACTGAGCTAAATCCCTGGCCCTATATATTCTGCTTTTTCTGTATTAACTTTGATCTTAGGGAAACATAAAAATAAGCCAAGCACATTTGAGCTTGACTGCAACCTTTTAAACTAAAACACTAAACCAGAAAAATCAAAATTAGTTCATTGTGTCACTGCAGTATGAACAGATTTCAGTTAAAGCTCATCTACATGTATCCTGTTTTATGAGAACAAAACAGTTATCTCCCTTCCATGTTATGAACAATTAGATATATGATTGCCATATGAAGGTATGCATATATGATATTGTATGTAACAACTATGGTTCTATTTTTGCCTAGCCCCAAGAGAGGTAACTGTTACGGATGGTGGAGGGACTTGATGCTAACAGTATGTTTTCAATAATACCAATAATACGAAACCTCACAAAATATGTTGGTACATGACATATCCCAGGACAATATTCAATTACAGTAACCACAAGCTTTAAATTTGATCATCTCAAAACTAATGGGAAAATTTCAAGTGTGTGTGTGTGTGTGTGTGTGTGTGTGTGTGAATTATGAAAATTGAAAAGTGGGCTTTTGGAAAAGTGATTGGATCGTGGGGCACTGTACTCATCAGTGGGTTGATCACTGATGGTTCTTAGCTGAATGAGCTGTTAAGAGGTGGAGTGTGGTCAGAAGGTCACTGGAGGCAGGTGATAACCTTAAACATACTCTTGTCCCCAGCTCCTTGTTTCTGCTTCCTGGCTGCCTGCCATAACATGAGCAGCTTTCCTCCACATGCCCTTTCACCATGCCATTCTGTTTTGCAGCCAGCTTACAATGGGCTGAATCCTCCAAAATTACAAGCCAAATTAAACTTCTCCTCTTGTAAGCTGTGAGTGTCAGGTATTACTTCCCAGCAATATGAAAGTTGATTGATACAAAAATTGATGCCAAGAGTGGAGTCATTGCTGTGATTATACCTGACTGTGTGGCACTAGTTTGCAGGAGGAGTTTGGAAAGCTTTGGATCTGCAAGTTAGCCTTAGAATGCTATAAGAATGGCTAATGGGTGATTCTTGTCAGAGCCCAAAAGAGCAGAATATTGATAGGAATGCAGATGATAAAAGCCAGTCTCAGGTTTCAGTTGAAAACAAGAACTCACTGACAGTTGGACTAGAGGTCATACATGTTATGCTCTGCAGAAAATTTGTCTACATTTTTGCCCATGTCCTGAACTTTTGCGAGACAGATTAAGGGCAATGGACTAATTAATCTGGTGAAGGAAGTGTCAAGACAGCTCAACACTTAGGCTGTAGCATGGGTACTGCTGACTGCTTTTAGCCAGACTTATAGTGAGAATAGGGGTCCAAAGGCAGAGCAGAAACTTTTTAAAACTTCAATTTTGGATCAGGAGGAACTCTGTAAAGTTGGTGCCATAAAGATGTCTGTCTGCTGAAAAGATTAGCACCATTAAGAAGGAATCTAGTACTTTGTACAGGAACAAGAAGGAAGATGCCTTGAGGGAATCACAGGAATCAGCAAGATTTTACCTATCACAGTCTCAAAGGTGCAAGTGTGTAAACTTTTCATTTGAGAAGAGAGCTCCTGTGTTGTCCTGCTTAAGAAAGACCTCCTAAGGCTGGGGATTTAGCTCAGTGACACCATACCTGCCTTGTAAGCACAAGGTTCTGAGTTCAATCCCTGATACAGGGGGAGAAAAAAAAAGACCTCCTAAAGAATTAGTTCCCAGGGATTTGTTTCCCAAAGTGCAGCCGTCCAAGTACCCAGAGACCTCTGCACCCATAGTCCAAAGGGACCAGGCTGCTTACAGACTTTGGGACCATTGGTTAAGTTCTGATTTTTCAGTTATGCAGAAAACACAAGAGTTGTGAGGTCACGGAAGTGTCCACCCAGATTTTAAAGGGAGGCCTGGGAGGCAAAGCAATTCACCCTTAAGAAGGCAATGCCTGAAGATGTGAGAGTGAAGCCACAGTGCAATGGCAAACCCAGGAAGTTAGAGATGCCAGAAACATGGATCATCCCCTGAGGAAAGCCACAGGCAGTAAGCAGAGCCAGCCCAGGACCATGTAGGCCACATCCAGCAAGGCTACAGGGGCAGGGCTGCCCAAGCCTTTTGGAGTTCACATCTAGCCACAAACTCCCCTGGAGTCCATGCTGCACATGGATTTGCAGGATTTAATGTTTGTCTTTCTTTGGTCCAGTTCCTTCCTATTTCTCTTTCTGTAATGGAAATATTTGCCTTATCTCATTGTGTCCTGGAAGTATTTAACTTTCTTCTTTACTTTTTACAAGGAGTCACCAATAAGAGTTTGCTTTGAATTTCAGAGGAGACTTTAAACTTTTTAGGACTGCTGAAACTGTTAAGGCTTTGGTGACTCTTAAAGGTGCACTAGATGTATTTTATATAGTGAGATGGACACAAGCCTTGGGGTGGGGAGCAGGAAAGAATGTTAGTTTAGATCTAGAATACCCCCAAAAGTCTGCTGTGTTGAAAAGTAGAACTTGTAAAAGACGATTGCATCATAGGAGCATTATACTCATCAATGGGTTGATCACTGGGAGTGTGACCCGGTAGGGTTTATTCCTGCCTCTGGCTCCTCTGTTCTCTCTTGGCTTCCTGGCTGTCATGAAATGTGCTGCTGTCATCTGTCATGCTGTGCTACCATGCTATTTCCGCCTGGGAGCCAGATGACCATAGACTGAATCCTCCAAACCATGAAGTAAATGAAACATCTCCTTTAAATTGTAAGTGTTAGGTATTTTGTTCCAGTGGCAGGAAAGCTGGCATATTCATATTTCAGCTAGTCTGGGTTTACTCTGGGATAATATTGGCAAAGGAAATTAAGACCTAGATGCTCAGACCAAATATCAGTGAGATGTGAAGGACTTTGATGTACCTAATGGATGAGACATGGTATCTCGGTAGAGGTTTAATTTTTATTTCTTTTATGAGTAATGTTGGATTTTTTTTTCATATGTTCAAGGCCTATCTTATACCTCAGAATTTTCAGGTTATGTCTTTTGTTTTGAACTTTGAATATGTTTTGGTACCAATATTACAAATCCTGCTGCCTGACTTTCCATTTGCCTGGCAAATTTTTGTCTATCCCTTTCATTTTTAG